TTGTTTTAGAATCTTTTAAACGTGATATTCGTCATCAGGAGCTCAAGTTGTACTAGTCCTGTTACTCTCGAACAATCCGGATAAAGTCGATGTAAATGTGGTACACTCTCGAAAGAATCACCCTATAGTAAGGATTTGAAATTGAACGAAAATAAAAATATTGCGCTCGAATAAATGTAATGCAATTCGTAGAAAAATTGATTTTGTGTTTTTCGATAGTTTTAGTTAGAATACTGTAATGGAATATTCTTCCGCTTGTATTCTGACAGAATAAAGTTATAAAACAAATGTAATGCTAGATGATGGGATTTGAGCTATATCAGCACCATTTGTTAAAGGCGAAAAAACAAATAACAAGATAATTAGGAAAAACATTTTCGTTTTTATTGTTTACGACTGTTTTTGAGAAAGAAAAACTGGGATTATATTTATATACGAAGCCGGTATTTATGTCACATGTATGAGATGAAGTAATATAAAATTATTAATAGTAAATAAATCATCAACTAAGTTCTTATCGTATGATAAAATAAAAATATTTACTTGCTGACAGTAAAAAGGATTACAGTATAATAAAACATGGTGTCACATTTCATGTTTCTTTATTATTTTTTTCGTAGAAAACCGTGTTTACAACATATATGAGCGATAGTAAAGTCAGCTAAAGTACTATAGTATTATTAAGTGTGAGTTTGTCAGAAAAGAATAGAGTTTTTTTAATCTCTAAGTCTCAAAAACTGTTAGAAACTCAATTCTTCCGAGTTTTCCTTAAAGTGGATCACAAAAAAAATGAAAAAAATCAACGAATAAACATTTGAAGGAAGCGTTTTCCACTTTCGACGCGCGAATAAAAGCTATGGACAATTAAATTTTACATCGTTGAAAATCCCCTGAAATCTCGGCGATTTGTTTAAAAACGCTTAATAAACGAGGTAGTTCCAAAATACTGAAAGACAATGTTTTCATTTTAGAAAAAATATTTTTTGAGGGGGCACCATCCCGAACTAGCATGTTCAGATAAAAAAATTTGTCATATATCCCAGGTGTTCGATTCCACATTGATACGTTTGGGATAAAAATGCAAGAATTTATTTTTATAAACTCTACTAAGCTTACGAGGAAATATTCCCAGCTGTCCAATCCCGATTTCTTTCAAACACACATCAATCGATAGCCCATATCGAGATAGTAAAAAGTCTAAAAGGATTTATCCCCATGGCTCTTGAAGACCCGGTTTTCTAGAAAACCAGTTTTCCAGAAACTCTAAAAAAATAATCAAAACGTTTCTTAATAAGATGATTGTAGCCCGAAAATTTCTAATTAAAATGAGACGTCTCCCAGCTCTACACGACCTTTCTTTGCAAAGTTATAGAATTTACAAGAAAAGCCCTGAATGTTCATTGTCAGCTCAAAGCTAAAACTCGGTTGTCATATACCAGGCAATGCTAAAGTGAAGAATACTCTCTCTATCCCCGGGTCCTAAGCTCTGGTTGACAAATAAAATGAAATAAGTGCCAGTGTGCAAGATTTATTGTGCAACAAGTGGATGAATGAATATAATAAAAAAGACTCACACGCTCACACACACACTGAATAGAACTAACAAAAATGACTGTATACAGATAATATATACTAACACAAAAGAAAAAGATCGAAATCTATGCCACGTTACAAAGAGAGAGAAAATATATCTATCGTTCTATCTATCTGTTTGTATATAAAAAAATCAGAGGAAAACAAAGCGAAGAACAATGGACTATGGTCTAACTAAACATACAAATAAAGAACTATATGGCTAGACTGTGAATGAGAAAACAAGGGAGAAGTATTAAAAAGAGAAATGATCATGTGTACTGGTGATATGTGAATGAAAAAGAAGACGAACTGTCCAGGTTCGTAACAGCCTTCCCCTCCGAAAAAGGATGTAACATCCATCCGAAAATGTAACATCAAACTGAAGTGAGAGAGAGAGAGATAAATCAATAACAACAAAATATGGCAAATGTAACAATAATAAAAAGTTAAAAACAGATTTTTGTTTGGTTTTTTATTAAAGATAGTAAAAAAAAACAAAAAGTTTGTAACCACAGAAATTTTGGCTCGTATTCAAGATAATATGAGCGCACGCACACAGTCACAAAGCACCGGATGTCGCAAGAAAATTTTTTTATTGTTGCTAAAGCCAGATTTATGTGCTAATAATTGAAACTATAATATTTGAAATAAATGGAAATAATCTTCGGATAAATGTTGACGATATTGATCACGATGTGAGGAGCTCTTAAATCCGATAACTAATCGGCGTTTACAATTTTCAATTTTGTCTTTCACATGAATAACTCCAAGATTACGTTGTTTTAAATGACGATAAACAGCTGGCAACGAATAATTTTTATGTAATGGAACATTCATTGAGTAATGATATCGTCGTTTTCTTCGTGTCATGTCGGTCTTTCGATTGCGGCAATATTTTGACGTACGTTGATGAGCTAATGAAGATGTTGCTGTTGCTGAAATTGGAGAGTGTGATGATGGTGAGATGAGCACGGTAAATGTAGGTTCTGTGGTAGAAGGTAAAGGAGAAGGTGACGGTTGTTATTGCGATGATAACGGCGACGATATTGGTGGTAATGAAGATATTTGTTGAGGATTAGATGATGACGCTGATTGATGTTGTTTTTTTTTGTTGCTGTGATAGTTTTGTAATTGCAGATGATAGACGAGTAACTGCCAAACAATCGTTAACAGCATATTTAACCATTTCACGTCTTCTATGCAACTGGATTGACGTATTGACATCTAATTGATCACCGTTTAATGATGTATCAATATAAGTTTATAAACTTTTGTTCAGTCCAGCATTCCAACGACTTAAAGTCCACTGTTGGTCTAAAAAAAGATTGAAAAATTGTGAAATTGCTCTTTGTAGGCTTACCTTGTCAAATGATGAATCATTTGGTGCATGAATTTGGAGAGCTTCGCCATTTGATGCAAATTCCGGGTCTCTGCCAAAAGGCGAGATCCTTCCTTCATTCCATAACGCATAATCATCCTGCACATTTGTAACCGGTCGATCAATTTGATGATGTGCAAACATTTGAAATGTAAGAAATGATCCCAGTTCTAATATTGGATTCTCCCATCCTTTAATCTCTTTGTGACGATCCAAAATGTTTTGCCAAACTAATGTGATTGTTTCGAATCTTGATGTTGATGATGGTGGTAAACATTGTTTGTGGTTTCTAATAAATAAGCTAATCTTTCATCTGTAGTTGTATAATCGCCAAAGACAACATCAAATGATCAGGGTTGACGGTTAAATGGAGCCTAGGAATTTCTTAATTATTCATTATACCGAGATTTGTTATTTGCTCTTCTTCAATTTCCTGTTTGTTTGGCATTTAGATGTTTTGGTGGTGGTGGACGATCATGGAACGATTGTGGTTGTGATATATGGTTGTACGGCATCTTCCTATGTTTGAAAATAAATGAAAAAGAACAATAACTTAAAGTAAAAACATAGAGTAAATGTGCGGATCTTGCTTTAAAAGAGCTGAATCCTTCCTTATCATCTGGATCTCGCTAAAGAGCAAGAGTCTGTCACTATTTCCACGATACGTAAGCTTAAAATGATGTCTTTCAATCACTCAATACTCATAAATCTGAGACATAAATTGAATATAGTAGTACTCCTATAAACAAATTCAAACTATGTTTTCAAATCCAAAGCGTTCGGCAACTTTCACTCGTCAGCAAATGAATTTAGAGTTTAAAAACACATTCATAACCAAATGAATAGAATAACTGAGGAAGATTTTTTTAATAATGAAGAATGTTTAAATCAATGTTAAGGTGTTAAATGTTTCGTTTGTTTCTGGATCTTTTACAATATATGTTGGATGTTTTCCTTTGATTATAATCACTGGAGTAGGATGAACTCGTGGATCTAATTTCAAACGATTTCATTGGATCCTTGTTAAAACATAATCCCCTATATTATAATGTTTGTCTTTTCTATTTTTATTGTATCTTATAGAAGAAAGATTTTGTTGATTGATCATATTTTCACTTGAATATAATTGATATAATTTAAGAGATTTATTTAACTGAGAATGGTAATCGGATGGATTTGGTAAATTCAATTGTGTTGGCGGTGGATCGATCGGCAAACGCGGCCTTCTCCCAAATTGTAGCACATATGGTGAGAACTTTGTGGACGAATGAACACCAGTGTTATAGGCAAATATCACTGGATCTAAAAACTCGTCAGAGTTGTTATATTCCGAGTCTTGTAATTTAGCTATTTGCGGAATAAAGGTGACGTTAAATCGCTCTATCATTCCATTGGATTGTGGATGGTATGTCGAAGAAAATATATGATGAATCCCAAATTTATGCTCTAATGCTTGAAGTAGTTGATTACGAAAATGTAAGCCATTGTCAGATAAAATAGTGACCGGAACTCCATAATGACAAATGTAATGTTTGAAAATCGCTTTTGTGGTCACTGAAGCCGTGCAGCTCGGAAGAGCTACAGCGGTGATCCACCTGGTAAATAAATCTGTGATGGCAAGAACATAACGATTTTCAGAAGGAGAACGATTTAACGGTCCTACGTAATCAATTGCAATGATCTGAAATGGTCCGTCTGGCGGTGATATTGGTTTCAAATACCCTGTTTTTTTTGTCTAGATATGTTAAATTGTTGTCATTTAGAACAAGATCTGATATATTTTTCAACAGAAGATTTCATATCTGGCCACCAGAATTGATGTTTTAATTTTGCTAGTGTACGATGAATAGCAAAATGACCAGAAAGCGGATCATTATGGGACGCTTCAAGTAAAACTGAGATCATTGATGGTGGTATATATGGAACTGGTTTTTTACGTATAGAATATTTAGTTTGAACAAGCTTATACAAAATATCATCTTTGAGGACAAAACCGATTTTATTTGGATCTTTCTTCAATTGTTCTATTTTTAGTTTAATGTTAGAATCTTTATCTTGTTCGATTTTCAGCTGTTTGATATCAAATTTATTACAACTGAATTTCTGATCAGAGTTTAAATCGATCGAATCTTGATCAGAAGCGGAATCACTTGTAAATCTTTCAGTAGTTTGTTCTTGTTTGCAATCTTGTTGTAACTGCTCCGGTCACTGGCACCTTTAAAGGCCGTGTCCTAATCGATAACTAATCTCCAACTTTTGTCTTTCTTTTCTACTCAAATTGCAGGAGCCGCATACGATGAATTAGATTCTCTCACATGACCAGATTCCATTAACGATTTGACGATGTTATACGAAGCTTCTCTTTTTTCATATGCAAATTGATAAGATTTCGAGCAAAGCGATGGATGCTCTATTGATTGCATGTTTAATCATAGTGTTCCCAACGGTTGGTTTCGAGATATCAAATATTTTAGCATATGGAAGAAATGTTTGTTTTAATGTAGATCTTTGTACGTCGTCTTTAAGAGGCGTTTTGCCACCACACCAATCATAGTGCCAAAAGTCTGTCAAGTGAAATTTTTTGACCTATACTTTTTTTTCTATTTTTCGATTCTATGATCAAAACTGAGGTTATGAAAAAATTTTGAGGTCGTTTGGACTAGATTTCGCCGAGTTATAGAATTTACAAAATTAGGTGTATCGAAGATTTTCAAAAAAGTGAGGTCCATGACATTTTGCCTATAACTTTGTTAAATTGTATCCGTTCTATTTGAACAACGTTTCATTCGAAAGTCCATCAAAAAATGAACAAAATCAGGTGTTTCTAAATTTTTTCGAATGGAAACTGGATTTTTCAGAAGCCTACCATTTGAAAAACTAGTAATTTTAAAAATAAAAATTTTCCAATAAACTTTATTTTTCGCCGTCCATTAGATCTCCCGCAAAATGTAAGTTAGCGCGTTTTGTAGAGCGTGCAATTCTCTACAAAATAAGCTATAAAACTTTCTTTCACAACCTCAGGAACATGTTGAAAAATTGCTTGCAATTATTACCATCAAAGTAATTAATTATACTATCATCTTTTTAAAATCAATCTTTCTTGGAAAGAAACACACTTTTAATATTAAATCAAGTATCCTGATGAAAGTACGAGGCATTCCACATAGGTTATGAGCGTTAAACTCATGCCGGTGGCTTATAGGCCCTCTGATTACCGTTTTTCAAGTTACTAAATAGGACCAATCCGTCTAACAGGACGTACAGTACTCCTTCTTATTTTTTTGAAGCCTGGTTTATGTACAACACTGCGTGTTCCTTTCTGAAAAAAAAATAAATGAAATGAATATTTTCGATATGGTGGTATTTTGACGTTGTTATCTTTCCTATTCTATGCATGATGAATATCAAAATATCAGTAATACCATATGTCTTTTTTCGTTCTTCTTATTCTGCATTCAGACTTGTTCCATTTCCAAGGACAGTACACTCGAGTCAGTATATTTTGTGAAAAATAAAAAAATACTTGCTAGTATTCTTCTACTGAAAAATGGCAGTCAAAAAAATGGCATCCAAAGGACGTCGATGTCTCTACCACGATCATATATTGGCAGAAGAGGAAACTTACTATAATCTATCGGATGTTAATTTTTTGGAGCACCGGTGGAAAAAGTCTAACTTTCCTGACACCTTCACGGTACTGGAGTCGGTCTTGCATCGTTGTGACATACGAGTTACACCTAAATTAGATTATAATAACATGTGTATTTGTGTATCGCATTTCGATGAACTAATAACGTCATTCGATCCGAACAAGAATAAAAAATGTTATACGTGTGTATCAACTGCTCACAATTCTTTGGATCCGTCTACTTCAGCATTACCACACACAAAAATTAAAGATCCTACGAAAATTAAAGCGAGTAAGAGTGGACTTCGTAGAATTGATTTACGCCTTGCTCTATTAATTCATGCGAATTATCCCGAAATACACAGTTTCTATGGCGAGTGGATTTGTAGAGAGTGTGCTAAACGATGGAAAGGACTGATACCATTCATTGATGAATCTAGTGAAAGTGAGAAGGATGATGAGTACCGACCGGAGCCGGATTTGCCGATTTTAAGACGAGACGAAGAAGACGAAGGCGTTGATCGTAGTCGATATAAAGAGCAGAAAACTGCTCTGTTAACATTTCTACAATTATCTGGCAAGTTATGTAAGGAGATCCTCTTACATAAGCAACCAAGTCAGATATCCTTATATAAGATCCTACATTGTATCATATCTGCTTTGACACATATTAAAGACGTGCCCATAAGAGACAATTGTGTGATAGGT